ATAACTCCTTTATGGGAAGTACTTCTGACCTGCATTGAGCTGATTTGATATGACGTTTGCAGGGGATTCTATTTATTTTTTAACCAAATTTATATAGCTTCCCATCTCATCGAAGATGGCGAACAACAATTAGCTACCGACCCACTATCAGAAAAAGGAGACAAGAGAACAAGAGCGGCTTCCTCTCATTTGGTCAACATGAATGCGGAATGCTGGAGCATCGGAATGCTTTGTTTCTTCCCCCTCTTGCACCCTCCCTTCTTCTTTTCCAATGATTGTATGGTAATAAATAATCTCCCGTTCCAGCTGGGACATGCCTATTTTGCATTCTCTGAACAACACTTAGCAGCATTTCAAGCACTTACTAATCATCTTTTATTTATCAGTTTTTTTTATCTTGACCTTCCCCTTGGAGAGCTCAATATGGCTTTATCCCATGCTGTCCTTACAACAACCTGGGGAGACAGGTCAGTCTAGGAGATTATGGCTCATCTAAGAGGCGATCGGATAGCAGAGTCCCCAGCCCAAATCCAGTAATCTCATCTGCTCTGCTGTGTAAAAAAGAAGGTGGCTGAAGGTGCACAGAAAGTGCCATTTTAGAGATCAATATTTGCATATGCATTTTTCATTTCATTTTCATACCTTTTCCCTTTCCTCCAAGTACATATGATAATTTGCAGCTGGGTCAACATCGCCTTGCATATGTTCTTACTGGATTCTTGGTTAAATAGTTAAGCTGCACAACTTTACTAATGTTACTTTTTTTTCCTTAAAAATGGGAAAAATCAAGAGCGGAATCTGACATGAGTGCAGAATTTTGTAGGATTCCACTAAAGCAAGAAAAGCTCACATACTCTGACACCCTCTGAGCATGGTTAAGTCTCTGTCTGGAATGAAAGCAGACAAGAAAACAGCAACCTCCCTATTCCCTCCCTAGACAGGGGAATGCCTTGGCCTATCCTGAAGCACTTGGTGATAACAACAGGGCACCCCAATTTTTCTTTTTGGGGCCGACGAGGAACGGTAAAGCCTGCTATAGGTGCTCTGGCCCTATGGGTACTTTGGAAGCTTTCATCCTCTGATAGCGGATATGGTCCATCACAAATTACTCAATTTCCCAGAAGTCCAGACTTCTCCCAGGTTGCAGGCTCCAGACTTCTGTGAACCACTGTTGTTATTTTTAAAGCATACTTCTGGGGTCACCTGTAGCCCAGAGTTATCCTGGGAAATATGGAGACTGGCATTTTGTTCTGGAACACGCCAGTGGGTGTGCTTCCTCTCTGGTGGGAAAGGAGCTTAGTGGGAAAGCATCATGTTGTGGGGGGCCCTGCTGCTGATTGAGGCCAATATGGGGCTTCCTTTCTCCACTTTGGCCATCCATCTGCATGTCTGCTGCTGAAAGCTCTGGTTTGATCAATGGGGTTCCTTCCAAAGATCTCTCTGATTGATGGCATGAGTGCTGCTGACTGATGGATGGGGGGGGAAGGGGGGAGATTGGGTTCGCCCTGCCAACTGGCCAACAATGCCCATTAGCTGATCGCTCTGCTCAGAAGCACCTTCCTGGCAGGGCAAAAAAAATTAATAAATCATTACTCTTGGGGAACTTGGGGAAGCATTCTTGGCTGAGCTTTTGCCAACTTCTTTGGACAAAGAGCCTGCAGGAAGAGCTCTCTCCAGCTCCTTTTCCATCACAAATTGTGTGCAAGGGTAGCCATTTAAATCCAGTGATGTGGAGGTAAAACCAGAGCATGTTTTCTTCTTGATAATCCACCACAACTTTCTCTTTTTCCCTCTCTTTCTAGAAGCCTATGTAATGGTTATTTATCTAAAGTTGGACTTGTCAGTCATAGTCACCATTGTGATCCCTGCTATAAGACATCTCCCTCCCAATCTGCATTTTTTTTTACTGCATAGCTTTGGGGAACAGAAATCAATTTCCCAAGGAAAGGAGCTCCTGCCTGCTCTTTCTGCTGCTTATTCGGTTTTACGGGGATTCTTAGCAGAGCAATAGGTGTGACATCTCTGAGTCCTTCCAACTCCCCTTGATCTCAACGGAGCATGTTCATCTGACAATAAGAGTCTTCTGATACTTGAAGTAAAGACTAAGGTCCATGTCTGAGGAGCCGCTCATGGTCCCATTATAAGCAGATGCAGAATTCACATAGAGCAGGAGGACTCCATAATTTATGGGACTAATACAGAGAAACATATCTGTGTACTTCCAAACAAAAAACCTCTTAAAACATATTATTGCCATGTGTGTTTCTATTGTTGTGCCTTCGATGTTTTAATGAGATCACGTTATTATGGTATATCTTAAAATTACATATCATTCTCTTAGGATTATTATATCCTGAAAGTCATTTTGAAATATTTTATGAATATGACAACCATGTGCATTCATATATATAAATACATGCATAGACTTCTATGTGTACATACACATACAATAAACGGTTTTAAATAATATCTGCCAGGTTGTTTCGTTCCTGAGGGCAGGACTGTTCTGTCTTACATATGTTCAACTAATGAAGCTGTCATCTTAACCATGATGATTATGATAATAAAACATATTTTATTTAATTACCTGTTGCCTAACATGTTCAAGACAGGTGCTTTATTACATTTCTATCCCTCAAGGAAGCAAGGGAGGATAATGGACTTTCTGCCTTGAAGCACTGCCACTTGTGAAGTATTTCTCCTTGTCTTTCCTATGTAGAACAATATTAAACGATCTATCAACAGACCATAGACTGCACACACATGGAAGGAAGCTGTCCTTAATATCTTGAGATGACATACCTGTTTTTATTCTAAAGCAAGTGATGGCAAACTAGTGGCACCTGTGTATCACATCTGCCTCTTATAATCCTTTGTTCTTGGCCAGACAATCTTTGGCCACCTTTCATGCATGGTTCCCCCTCCATCTGTCAGACTTAAGGCAAGCAGGTCATTAAACCTTGATTGCCCTGAAACTCTGTCCAGCATTCATTGACTAGGTAATGTCAAAACTTTCACAGATTCAACACTGCAAGATAAGCTATTTCACTGCAAGTCATATGTTCACAAAAGATCTGTCCACTACAGAATGGAGAATACTAATCCTGTCTATATATCAACCCAAGGTTAAAATCCTAAGCTTTCACTCTCAGACTTTAGCGTCAACAGACTTTATTCTGATATATGATAGGTAGGCACAATGCTTATATAATAGCATGTCTGGCCTGAACAATACTTTTTCAGCTTGCAGTTCAGCCTTTACACAATCTCATCCAGCATGATCGGTGAAGAGGAGAACTTGATAGCAAATGGAAGACCATATAGTGCATCCCTCACCATAGAACGGGCAGCCAACTCTGTCTTCAGCCTCAGCCCTGCAAGTTAGTCATAGCTTTAAATCTTGCATCTGTGGGTTGACAACATGGGATCCATCAAACAGCCTGTATGAGAGGCAATTAATAAAGCTCCCAATTTTATTAAGAACATCTGGGTGATGCAAATAGCTGGTTGACTCTCTTCAGTCAACAAGGTGTGCCACAATGATAACCTAAATAAATAAAAAAAAAATAAAGGCAACATCAAGGAGGGTGGAAAACTAATTAACTTTTAGCAATATGCTTTCTGTAGTCTCCTGCTTTCAATAGGCTTGATACAATAACAGCTTTCCCCTTCACAAGGTTGTTATAGAGAGGAAAAATATGAAAAAGGGTCTAAGACCTTCTTAGAATGATATAATCCTATCTATAGATAATGGAGATGTAGGCATGTGTATGTGCATATAAATGCATGTATGTGCATGTACATATGTGTATGCCTTAAAGACTACTAGGATATTTACAGATTTTTGATTACAGATTTTGGTTAACTTTCAGAATACAGCAAGAATCTCTATTTTCCCAGTTCTGGTGATCATCCATCACATGCAACAGAGCTAAATAGTAGGACTTCATTTCTAGAAAAGCATTGTTAAAAGCTGAGCTGAGGATCAAGTCTCAATTCATCCACAAGTTCCCCTCACAGCAATTCTCTTGGCCTCCACTGGGTATTTCAGATACTTTTGGCCTGTCTTTACAAGTTGTTGTCAGATTTACTAAGACAATGAATAATCTTCAAAAATGCAAGGAGAATTTACTTTTTAAAAGGAAGGAGAGGAATATCCCAGATTATTTGTCCTCATGGTTTCTTTTATTCTGTGTCCACATGAGAACAGAGAACTTCTTAATATACTGTATCTGATACAGTGACCTTTAATCCTCCAGTGCTTAGGCCACATAAATGTCTTGAGCTTTAAAGTAATATACAGCATTTTTTTTAAAGAATGCAACTTACAATTTTTACTAGCACTAGCAATGTGGGGATGGAAAAAAATATATAAATGCCTTTGACTGGTCTGCTGTCTTCTCTATCCTCCTCCTCCTCCTCCTCCTCCTCCTCCTCCTCCTCCTCCTCCTCCTCCTCCTCCTCCTCCTCCTCCTCCCCTCCTCGACTCCCACCTACTTCCGTAAAGGGTACTCTGCCCAACCCACCCCTCCTGCACTCACGGCACTGCCCACACATACTGTACATACATCAGCACCGTCATAACCACCATCAGTTGGAAGCTGCCTGAGCAAGGATTGGGACTGCGCGCCTATGGCTGGACTGCTACAGAAACAGGTAGTGGGAATCCTTCCATCGCTCTTAGTCTCTCTATCAGTGATGGAGAGGCAGGTTGGAACATACCATCTCATGGGCCGGAGGGAGGGGAAAAGCAGCCATCAATGAAGTTCCAGCTCTACATCCGAAGGTGTCTCTTGATTTTGAGAGGTGGGGAGGAGTTGGAGGGATGGACCTGGTTGAGGTGGAGGGTGGGGCAGGAGGTTCAAATCTCTACCATTGGCTTTCGCCGGCTTTCACCATTCCCACCCCCACCTCACCAAGCCGTGGTTCCCCTCCTCTTTCTCCTGCCTCCCCCTCCCCCCTCTGCTGAGATTTGCAGCTGGACCAGTGCTCCGCGAGCCCTCTCCATCCTTGCAGGATGTAGGCGCTGCGATGTCGAGCCGCAGCATCCCCGGGGCTGTAGTCAACTAGCAGCCCCCGCCCTCGCCCTCCCCCCTTCCCCTTCAATCCTCCTTTGAAAGGGGGCAAATTGAGCTGAGGAAGTTCCCCCGCTTCTCCGATTCTCGACTGGATCCGGGCCAAGCTAGAGAGAGAAAGGGGGGACCCCTAGTTCCACCACCTCTCTCTCTCTCTTCAGCCGCCGAACAGCCTTCCTGCTCCCCTGCTCAGTTTCTTCTGCTTCTGGCATGGCCTGGTGAGTACCTTGCGGAGAACCTTCCTGGGAGGTGCGGGGGGGGGAGGAGGAGAGGGAGATCGGGATGGAAAAGTCTGTGTGATTGATAAATAGAGGCATGTATGCAATATATAATCTCACAGCGCCCAGTGGGGTTTGAGGAGACTTTCCCCCCCCCTCCTTCTGAGAAGGGAACCCGGGCAGCCTCCGTCATAGGTAATGCAGAAGGGGGGAGGGGAGCGGAATGCGGTTGGGATGGCGTGGGGACAAGTCACTGCAGAAAGCAAAGCTTGGTGGCCGTCAAATGGCGCCCCTCCCACTTTTTTTTTTTTTAAGGTACTCTCCCAAATGCAGCCTAAAATTAGGGGAGAGAAGCGCTTGGTATACCTGCAGAGGTCCAGCTTTCAAAAGCGGCTCTAGGATGCTGATTATTGGTATGCCCAAAGGGTGTGTGTGTGTGTGGGGGGGTGATTGCAAAATAGAATGGGAGTGTAGCAAGTCCTTTGGCCGCTTGAGATCCCTTCCCAGTCATCGCCAGCTTTCTTTTGCACCCGACCTCCTCAATGTCGACTTGCCTTGGCTTTCTCTCTTGCTGCACCTTGCGCGCTCGCCTGCCGGCATCTCAAGGTGACAGCGACGTATTCTTGAGGGGCGTGTGCGTGTGTTTGTGAGAGAGAGAGAAAAGGAGAAAGAGAGCGAGCGAGACATTGCGCGCGCGCGCACTCATGCTCAAGGAGAGAGAGAGAGCGAGAGAGAGGAGGGAGCGCCGGTGACGTCCCTGGCCAGATCAGTAAAGGGGTGCGGGTGGGTGGGGGCATATTTCAAAACCAATAGGGATCTCTCGCCCACCTGCCCATTGCAGAGAGGTACCTGCATTAAGTGGGGGGCAGGAATTGGGCTGGGGCTGGGGGTTAAATTGGCAGCTTTAGCAGCGGCGAGCCTTCCCCCGTCCGCCACGCCACTCCCACCTTCTGCACCCTTGGTAACTAGAAAAAGAGATGGAGAGTCAGATCACACAGCATGTGATGTGCGAACATGAGAGCGGTGCGAACGGGCGAACCTTCCAGCGATCCACTGGAGTCTGGCAGGACCTTTCAATGGCTTGTTTCGGGGCAACGGATCCCTGTGTGAACTGAGCGGAGACGGAATAATTAAGACTTAAGGGCTGGGTGGACAGGCGACTTGGCGGGATAGATAAAGAAGAAAGGAACAGCTAGATTCAGTGGGGGAGAGGGGGGGCGTGGACGGACGGACGAAAAGCAGCTCGCTTGAACTTCAGCAAACGGAATCGCCAGGCCTGAAGGGAAGGACAAGCGGAAAAAATTCGGGGAAACTGAGGTCAGGCAAGGGTATTGCCTTGCCTAACCCCAGGGGAAGCGACATTAGGATAAGGAGGGGAGGGGGCGACATCAGCATAAGGACATAACTGCCAGGTCTGGTCTGGGATAAGTTCCCAAGGCTTCTTTGGTCCTGCCGTCTGTCTCAACAGTTAGAGCGGGTCAAAGCAGGACAAGAAAAGAAGGGACGGGCCGCCCCTTTGGGCCTTATATTCGGTGCCTCTTCCTCTTGCTCAGCAATGCTGCCTCGACATCTGAGGGACACACACACACACACACACACACACACACACGTAGCGATCACGCCCCCCTCCCGGGCGTAGTCTCCCCGCCCCCACCCGGCCACCTCAAAGCGAGGGGGCGACCGCCACGACCCCGTCGCCTTCTGAGCTTGTATGGCTCTCGTGAAAGGCGGAGATCTCGTAGGGCTTTGGCCTCCCAGACTGCTCTGAAGCCCGGGGAGCAGCGATGAAGAAGAGGGAATCAGTGGTAAAAAAAAAAAAAAAAAAGGGAGGGGAAGGGCCTCGCGCTGGGTCTGGCGTGGCCTCTAAGCCCGCCCACGAATCGCCAAGGGCAACCGGGGAGCGTCTATTCCGCGGTCTGCTTTGGCGCATTGCTCGGGATGGGAAGCAAAAGCGCGTTCCAGCTCTGGCTTTTTTCAAGGCAACTGCAGGGGAGGGGGCGGGCTCCACGGGCTGTCGAGGACTGCCTTTACCCGTTTCTGATTGGTCGAGAGGTCCTGAGTGGCAGCAGGCGCGAGGGGTGGGGTGGGAGAAGAGGCTGAGGAGAGGGTGGGGAGGAGAGAGCTCCGCCGGGAGGGGGCTGGGCTTGACCCAGCTCCCCGCCGGCGGTGGACTGGGGAGGGGGCCGGAGAACCGCAAGACGCCCGACTGCAGCGCCCGGCCGGTAGCAAAGGACAGGCTGGGCTGGCGGGAATGATCGCGATGTCATCGTGTTATCTGGAAACCGGTCTTTGCTTGATCGAAGGGGGGAGGGGACTCTTCAGCCCAGGCATTCGAGGAACGCGGGCTTTCTGTGGCACATACTCCCGTGTGCTGACCCCACAGAAAGTCCTTTGCTCATGGCAAAGGCAATCCGAGCCCCCCCCCTCCGCGCGCCCCCCCCTCCCCGAATCGTGGCGAGGACATAACTCCAGTCGGAGAGAAAGATGTTGCGATCATGACGCTGTAATATTGCGCTTGGAATGAACCGAACCTCCTGGCTGAGGGACAGTCTATCTCCAACCAGCATGGGCTGAAGACGAGGCGGGGGAGGTTGGCGGGGGCGCTGCCGCTGCCGCTTCTGTCTGCTTCCCTGATGGAAACAGATTAGCTGGCCCTTGATGCAGGAGTACAGTAGACCAGCGCCTAACTAGGGCACAGGGATTGCACCAGCACTGCCGCAATCATTTTGGGGAGGTGGGAGAGAGAAGCAGAGGACGAGGAGGCGAGGCGGAGGGGGGAACCCAAGAGGAAGAAAAATGTAGGCAGAGAGAGAAGAGGGAGGGGCCAAGAAATACTGGCAGTTGCCTCCACCTCCCCAGTGGTACAAGTTCACTGGGTGATTTGGGCACCAGCCCATCCACCCACTCTCTCTCCCTCTCTCTGCCAACCTACCTCCCAAGGTTGTTGTGGCAAAAAAAAAAAAAAAGAAATCGGAGAAAGGAGTGATGTATACCTCATCTCGAGCTCTGGAATAAAAGGCAGGATATTAATTTAATTAACCAATGCACCAGAAAGCTTTATTAGAGCATAAGCGCCGGTGGACCAGAGACTCAATTAGTTCATCAGCCTGGTAAATGCATATAAACCATGCTTTATTCCCTCTCGTTCTCTTCTAACACCACCCCTCTCTTTTCTGTTGTGAACCCCATACGCCAATTTTATTTTTATACATTCTGCCCTACCCCAATCTTTGCCTAATGTTCCCTGATGCATCTCTGCATGCTGTGGAGCTTTGTTAGACCATTCATCCTTTTCTTCCCCACTGATCTGGGGGGGGGGGGAAGAGGAGGGAATGGAAAACTCCTGTTGAACAAACAGAAACCCAGCCCTCCCTCCTTCTCTCTCCCTCTCTTTCTCTCCTTATATAACCCTGCATTAAGTAACCTACTCATGATTTCCCACTCGTTTTCATTCTTGTGTCACTCTTCCTATCCCACCCCTCCCCTCAGGATCGCTAGGTCCCAGAGCTAGCCAGGACAGTGCCTTCCTCCCCTCTTCCTGAGAGGAGGCCACAGCTGGTTATTCTCTTGTCAATATTTCGAAGGAGTGTTCAGCCCTGGGAATGAAGGCAGGCAATATGATTTGCACCAGGCTGCCTACTTTTGCTGTGAGTTTGCAAAGAGCTGGCCGAGAGATATTGGGCTTTTTATTTAATCATACAAAGAGTCTTACCCTTGAAAGCAAACCAAACAAAATAACAGGATTTGTGCATCTGGCATAAGTGGTCAGTTCGATGAGCTTTAAATGTTTCTACTGGAGTTGTTCACTGTATAGAACCCCAACGCTGGCAAGCAGCACCAATTCTTCTCTGCAATAGGGACGCACCACCTGAAACAGGGAGAAGGGGTCAATGTCTCTGTCCCAAAATGACCCAGTGATTGCTGTCTCTGCTGATCCCTCAAACTCTTTTGGTCTTCTCTTCTTTCCCTTTTGTGAGCTTTCCCCCAAGTGGATCTGACCGCAGCACAAATATAATCTGGCACTTCTTTTTATTGCCATGACCTCTTGACTTGTCTTCACCTCCCAAGCCCATGAGAGAGACAGGCCTAAGCCATCCATAGTTGTACCACTGTTGTAATGGCATTTTCTCCCTCATTCCAACAGTGTCCAGCAACAGCCTGCAAGTGTATACCAATCGGTTTGGCTTTGTCCTCTGTAAAATGACTGTCATTGACCAGGAACAGGAAATTGACGTGGGGATGGGGTTCATCAATAGGAACAGCAGATTTCCTGCTGGTCCCTGCAGTTTTCCACTGATTTAGAGATGGTAGACAGGCTTTAATTTCACAGTGGGGAAAAGTCCCTTGGGATTTCTGTGAACTGTAAGCTGCACAATTTACAACCCCCTGCCCCAAACTCTTGGAGGCATCATCTAGAAACTTTTCATGAGCTTCTTGCAAAATATTAATTTCCAAAAGTAGAGGAATATATTAAGTACTGGGAACAAATGTCAAAGACGTGCATAGAAATACCAGAACATGTTAATTGCATTTGTTCATCTTAATCACATTCGTAACTGAAGAGAATTCAAGGAAATGTTAGGATTATTTTTTTTTTTAATGTCCTGGCTTTGTCCACTTCTTGCTGTGCTGTTCCTAGCATTGCATTTAAGAGCTAAGCACCAAGGCAGACTTATGCTGTATGTCAAAATGAGCAAATTTGGAAGAGATTGCCCTCAGAGCCCATAATCCAGGTCTATACACTTCTGTGCCCCCCAATATCTCTGCAGATCCAAATGGATCACATTCAGCCCTCAAGCTCTCACACTGGCTGCCTGATCCTTATTGGTACAAGGATCCTTGAGAATTCTCCTCTTCACCCACCTGGGTTCAGAACATCCTTTCTCACCTACGCTCACAAATACCCTGCACCAGAAAAGGACTTATCATTTGGCACCTGGGAGCTTCATTTCATGGTTTCTTGGGAAGGTGAGATGGTGGGGATCTGAGAGTTTCAGTGA